GATGCTCTCGATGGTGCAGCTGTAGAACCTTTTGAGGATCTGGGGACCCATGCCAAATCTTTTCAGTCTCCTGTGGGGAAAAAGGCGTTGTCGTGATCTCTTCACTACTTTCTTGGTGTGTTTGGGCCATGATAGTTTGTTGGTGATGTGAACACCAAGGAACTTGAAACTCTCGACACGCTCCACTACAGCCCCGTCAATGTGAATGGGGGCGTGTTCGGCCCTCCTTTTCCTGTAGTCCACAATCAGCTCCTTTGTCTTGCTCACGTTGAGGGAGAGGTTGTTGTCATGGCACCACACTGCCAGGTCTCTGACCTCCTCCCTATAGGCTGTCTCATTGTTGTCGGTGATCAGGCCTAACACCGTTGTGTCGTCAGCAAACTTAATGATGGTGTTGGAGTTGTGTTTGGCCACGCAGTCGTAGGTGAACAGGTAGTACAGGAGGGGACTAAGCACGCACCCCTGAGTGGCCCCCGTGTTGAGGATCAGCGTGGCAGATGTGTTGTTGCCTACCCATACCACCTGGGGGCGGCCCATCAGGAAGTCCAGGATCCAGTTGCAGAGGGAGGTGTTTAGTCCCAGGGTCCTTAGATTAGTGATGAGCTTTGTGGGCACTATGGTGTTGAACGCTGAGCTGCAGTCAATCAACAGCATTCTTGCATAGGTGTTCCTTTTGTCCAGGTAGGAAAGGGCAGCGTAGTGTGCGATTGAGATTGCATCATCTGTGGATCTGTTGGGTCGGTATGCGAATTGGAGTGGGTCTAGCATTTCCCGGGATGATGGTGTTGATGTGAGCCATGACCAGCCTTTCAAAGCACTTCATGGCTACCAACGTCAGTGCTACGGGGCGGTAGTCATTTAGGCAGGTCACCTTCACTTTCTTGGGCACAGGGACTATGGTGGTCTGCTTGAAACATGTAGGTATTACAGACTCGGTCAGGGAGAGGTTGAAAATGTCAGTGAAGACACTTACTAGTTGGTCCGAGCATGCTCTGAGTACACGTCCTGGTAATCCATCTGGCCCTGCGGCCTTGTGAATGTTGACCTGTTTAAAGGTCTTGCTCACATCGGCTACCGAGAGCGTGATCACACAGTCGTCCGGAACAGCTGGTGCTCTCATGCATGCTTCAGTGTTGCTGGCCTCAAAGCAAGCATAAAATGCATTTAGCCCGTCTGGTAGGCTCATGTCACTGGGCAGCTCGCGGCTGCGTTTCCCTTTGTAATCCACATCCAGCGAGCGTCAGAGCCGGTGTAGTAGGATTCAATCTTAGTCCTGTATTGACGCATTGCCTGTGTGATGATTCGTCTGAGGGCATAGCGGGATTTCTTATATGCGTCCGGATTAGTGTCCCGCTCCTTGAAAGCGGCAGCTCTAGCCTTTAGCTCGGTGTGGATGTTGTCTGTAATCTATGGCTTCTGGTTGGGATATGTACGTACGATCACTGTGAGGACGAAGTCGTCAATGCACTTATTGATGAAGCCGGTGACTGAGGTGGTATACTCCTCAATGCCATTGGATGAATCCCGGAACATATTCCAGTCTGTGCTAGCAAAACAGTCCTGTAGCGTAACGTAGCATCTGACTACTTCCGTATTGAGCGAGTCACTGGTACTTCCTGCTTTAGTTTTTGCTTGTAAGCAGGAATCAGGAGGATAGAATTATGGTCAGATTTACCAAATGGAGGGCGAGGGAGAGCTTTGTACACGTCTCTGTGTGTGGAGTAAAGGTGGTGTAGAGTTTTTTTTTCTTCTGGTTGCACATATGACATGATAGTAGAAATGAGGTACAACGGATATACGTTTGCCTGCATTAAAGTCCCTGGCCACTAGGAGCGGCGCTTCTGGATGAGCATTTTTTTGTTTGCTTATGGCCTTATACAGCTCGTTGAGTGCAGTCTTAGTGCCAGCGTCGGTTTGTGGTGGTAAATAGACGGCTATGAAAAATATAGATGAAGACTCTCTTGGTAGACGGTGTGGTCTACAGCTTATCATGAGATACTGTGCCTCAGGCGAGTAATACCTAGAGACTTCTTTAATATTAGACATCGCGCACCAGCTGTTATTGACAAATAGACACACACCCCCACCCCTCGTCTTACCGGACGTAGCAGTTCTGTCCTGCCGATGCACGGAAAACCCAGCCAACTGTATATTATCCGTGTCGTCATTCAGCCAAGACTAGGTGAAACATAAGATTTTACAGTTTTTAATGTCCCGTTAGTAGGTTAATCTCAAACGGAGCTCATCCAGTTCATTCTCCAGTGATTGCACGTTGGCCAATAGAACGGATGGTAGAGGCGGGTTACCACCTCGCTGACGAATTCTCACAAGGCACTCTGATCTCCGCCCCCTGTATTTCCTTATTTTCTTAATGTGAATGACAGAGATTTGGGCCTTGTCCGGGAGCAACATTAAATTGTTTGCGTCAGATTCATTAAAAAAAAAATCCAGTTCAAGGTGAGTAATCGCTGTTCTGATATCCAGAAGCTCTTTTCCGTCATAACAGACGGTAGCATCAACATTATGTTAACAAAAAAAAACACACAAAATAGCACAATTGGTTAGGAGCCCGTAAAACGGCAGCTGTCCCCTCTGGCGCCATTATCAGATTCAAAGCTAATTCAAAGGTCATTTAAGCTGTGTTCAATTTCACAAAGTGTTAGGTTCACTCTAAGACTACGGTGATTGGTAAATTGGAAGATTGGAAGATTGGATGACTGGTAGATTGGTTGTTTGGTGGATTGGAAGATTGGTGGGTTGATTGATTGATTGATTGATTGATTGGTTGGTTGGTTGATTTGTAGATTGGTCGATTGTTAGATTGGAAGATTGGTTGGTTGATTGATTGATCTGTTGGTTGATTGAAATATTGATTGATCTGTTGGTTGATTGTAAAATTGGGTGAAAGGCCAGGTCAGAACAAGGCAAACTGGTTTGTAAACTCACATGGCTGCACCTTTTATGTACAGGGATTCAGGATGCCTATAAACAATAATGGGGGACATTTGAGATGACTGGTTCCTCTCAGTTAAACAGAATAAGATGTGCTTTCTCTTCCCTTCGTATAGGCGTTTGATTGAGGAATCCACCACTCTAAACCATAGAATGATCAATTACATGCAATAGCCAATTCAGTTCATAACATAGTTTGATTTAGACAAAATGTTCAGTGACAGTCTAAAGAGGTATAAAACTGGAACTTGTGAATCATAAATATACAGGTCAGCTTATTCCATAGGTAGAATTCAATATAATCTGTTTCTGTGGAGGGACTTTTAAATGGCTGAATGTATATTCCATTTCACAAGAATTTACAAGGTAATGATAATACTTCATATAAAACATTTCATTGGATGGATGATTTACGGAGTCGAATTGAAAAGCAGCTGGTCATGATTTGATATTTCAGAGGAGACAAATTACTTTCTTGAAGCTACTCGAAACAAGCAGATTATTCAGGAAAAAATACCCTCTAAACTTCAGCGATGTGCTAGTGTAAACAGGATGTCCTTTATTTTATGCCTGATTGCCTGCCACAAGTGTTTCACAGAACCGTGCAGGTTTTAAAGGGCAATTTAAAAGCCTCCCTTGGAGTAAGCTGACACAAGCATGTCCCCAAGGGTGGATGCTCAATTTTAGATTATGATCTAAAGACAGCCACGCCAAAAATTCAAAACTTTCAAACGCATCCACTCACAAATTCAAAGCTAATTTAAGCTGTGTTCAATTTCACAAAGTGTTAGGTTCACTCTAAGACTATGGTGATTGGTAAATTGGAAGATTGGGTGATTGGAAGATTGGGTGATTGGTAGATTGGTTGATTGGTAGATTGGTTGATCAGTAGATTGGTAGATTGGTTTATTGGTTGTTTGGTAGATTGCTTGATTGGAAGATTGGCAGATTGCTTGATTGATTGATTGGTTGATTGGTAGATTGGTAGATTGGTTGATTGGTTGTTTTGTGGATTATAAGATTGGTGGGTTGATTGATTGATTGATTTGTAGATTGGAAGATTGGTCAATTGGTAGATTGGTAGATTGGTTGATTGATTGGTTGATTGGTAGATTGGAAGATTGGTTGGTTGGTTGATTGATTGATTGATCTGTTGGTTGATTGGTAGATTGGAAAAGTGAAAGATTGATTGATCTGTTGGTTGATTGGAAGATTGGTTGATTGATAGATTGGATGATTGGTTGGTTGGTTGATTGATAGATTGGAAGATTTTTTCATTGGAAGATTAGAAGATTGGTTGGTTGATTGATTGGTAGATTGATTGAATGATTTATTGATTGATTAATTGATTGGATTTATCGATTAATTCATTAATTCATTTGAAAATAGATTTACAGCCATATCACTGAGCGATTACATCTCCCATGATAAAGACAGTTCTTCCATTCTCAAAATATCCAATATAAAACCCAAATCAGCAACCATTTTGGTTCTCTAACTGGCAAAAAGGTCAGGTCAGAACAAGGCAAACTGGTTTGTAAACTCACATGGCTGCACCTTTTATGTACAGGGATTCAGGATGCCTATAAACAATAATAGGGGACATTTGAGATGACTGGTTCCTCTCAGTTAAACAGAATAAGATGTGCTTTCTCTTCCCTTCGTATAGGTATTTCATTGCGGAATCCACCACTCTAAACCATAGAATGATCAATTACATGCAATAGCCAATTCAGTTCATAACATAGTTTGATTTAGATAAAATGTACAGTGACAGTCTAAAGAGGTATAAAACTGGATGTCAAGGATATTCTACTGTACATACTGTAGTACTGTTTTAGAAAAAAAAAATGTGTGGAACTTGTGAATCATAAATATACAGGTCAGCTTATTCGACAGGTAGCATTCAATACAATCTGTTTCTGTTGAGGGACTTGTAAATGCCCATGACTGAATTTATATCCCATTTCACAAGAATTTACAAGGTAATGATATACTTCATATTTAATTGGGATGATTTGGGGGGTTGAAATAAAGAGCGCTGGAGCTTACTTGTTTTGATATTCCTTGATGACCTGGTGGATGGTGACCTTCAGGGTAATGTTCTCATAGCGGGCAGGACTGCCATCTTTATAGATCCGAAACTCAGCAGCAGTCACCACCTCCCCCTCTGGGATCTGAGTCAGGTCGAAACGGAACTCCTTGTAGTGTCTTCGCTGATGGGAGAAATCTTTGTCTTTCTCCACTGAAAAAGAAGACAATATGGTCAATGAGGACTAAATAGAGGACTTGCATAACTGCATAACATGCTGAGATGCAATGCATAAACCTTATTCAGAGCAGTGATTATTATTACTGATATCTTCTTCCCTGATCCACAATAGATCAAAAATGTGTTGCAAAGCGACAGAATGTGGTGTAACAGCAGTAACCTACCTAACTGAAAAAAATGTAATTTATGTAAACTTTTCACATTCCAAAAGCCAATCCAAACATTTTGTCTCCCAACAAAAGCACCAGTCCATTCAATCAGTCAACTGAGTACAAGTAGCAGTTTCCAGACAAGCCCTCCACTGTGAGAGGAACTACATTCTCTGCCGATGATGAAAGTGCTGTCAGTTATGAATAACAGGCTGATTTCAATAATTGAAAGACACTTTCGTCTGCCCCTCCGCGTGAGAAAAAGAGACCAGACAGCCTTTTTTTTAAACATTATTTCAGTAAACGATTTGAGTGACTGCTTTGACCTCATTTTCCAACCTAATATGGATGTCCTGTAGTTCCTATACAACATATTGTCCGTGTTTGATAGAAGAAACCTATATTCAGTTATCTTTGCCTGACATATCTATTTAAACTTGTTTCATAGGAGGACAATATAAAATGTGCACATTAACAATTTACAGAAATGATAAATGCAGGTGTAGGATCTTAATTTGACTAATATTGTCACCAGTGGCGGTCATGCCGTTTAAGATTAGGGAGGACAAAAAAAATTTTTATGAGCATGGTCTTATTTATATTACAGCATATTGGATGATATTCTAATTTGCCCTTTACCCATCATGAGGCTGCTACAACCTAGCCTGCAAATGAAAGTTTTTAGCGTTGGTGCACAGGTCGAGAGACAAATTGGAGTAATCAAGATGACAGACAGTGACACATTCAATACTGCCTTGCACACTCTTGCCTGCATCTAGCTGATCTGGTGTGTAATCATTAGTCCAAATAGTTTCAAAACGTTTCTCCTCCTCTCACCTTTTGCCTTTGATTGTGGACTTCAGTGCACAACACAATAGCTGTGACCTGGCACAAAAACCTCTCCAAGCCAAACCTTGATACCATAACTTCTAACTGCTAAACAGCCTACATCGTTGTCACCATATTAACGTTATAGTCAACAAACTAGAACTAACGCGTTAGTAAACCCACAATCCAATCCATATGTACAATCATACTTTTCTCATTCTCAGCTCAAGCTATTTCTCCAACTGTCAATACAATCAAATGAATAGAGGTACCGGAGCCCCGTAGCTATGTCACAATGGGACGCCGGACTATCGCATCTCAGCATCTGTGGACTATGATTTACACTTTAGCCAGCTAGCTAACATACAGTAAATAGCTAGCTAGCATTCCTCAATGTTTGAGTCAGGATGTTGAGCAGGCTAAATTAGCTGCATTACCTAAGTAAGTGAAAGGAAAAATACAACGAAATATCTCTCTCTCTCTGTCTCTCTGCTGCTTCTCCTTAATTTTTGAAGAAATGAATTTGTTCAAAACTGTTCAACTATTGTCTTTCTCTCTCTTTTTAAGTCAACTACTCACCACACTTTATGCACTGCAGTACTAGCTAGCTGTAGCTTATGCTTTCAGTAGGCTACTAGATAAATTATCTGATCCTTTGATTGGATGGCCAACATGTCAGTTCGTACTGCAAGAGCACTGGTAGGTAATTATGAAGTCGTCATTATTACTGTCTAAGTCTATGAAAGGGGGTGAGAACCATGAGCCTCCTATGTTTTGTACTCATGTCAATATAACCAGAGGAGGATGGAAAATAGCTGTCCTCCGGCTACACCATGTTGCTACAGTAGAGGGTGCTGTTAAGGCTACTGTAGACCTTCATTGCTAAACAGCTTGTCGTAAGAAGTTTGGTGACTTGAATATATTTAGTCTAGTTTTATCTAAAAATGAAAACTTTTTTAATGTTTCACTATTTGTATTTTTCTGAAATTCACTGAGTAGGATGGTCCTCCCCTTCCTCCTCTGAGGAGCCTCCACTGATTGTCATAGCAAAATAATCCTGCAGCAACAGCATTTGAACGTTTAGTCCATAATGTTGTGTATCAGTGGTTAGGCTATTAGCTGGCCAAAAGTAAGCTACATGAAAAGTGCAATAGTGAATTTATGTAAATCACGAAGCTCATCTGCATTTCCTGCGGTACAGGAAAATTATCAGCAACAAAAAGAGAGATAAAATTAAGATGGTACATCTGTACTATAGTATATGACTGAGAGTTACACTTGACAAACAAAGAAGAGCAGACCTCTTTTTGAACCCTGTCTGCAATCAAAGGGATGTCATCATGCAGTCAAGAAGACACAAAGTGACAGCTAACCATCCAACACTTGCTAAACAGCACACAAAAGCATCGAGGTTGAGGTGTGTTAGTGTTCTGGCACAGCCAGTGAAATTATACAGCCAGTGAGTCCATTTCACTGATAGTCTATCCACAGTGAAAGTCTGTGGTTCCTTAACACACACAGGCCATGGGTCAGGCCGTCCTGTTACAGAATGGACTTGCTCCATGATTAGCTATAGTCAGTAACGTGAAGCAGAAGTGAGGTTGAGTATATAGTATTTCAAGTGTCAGATAGCTGCAGATTCATTCGGAGGGTGGTTTGACTCACTAAAAAGGGTCTGCCTCTTAGGCTACTTGACATGTAACAGTTTCAGTGAATAAACTTTGATGACAATTTGGAAGAAGAGGAACTAGACAAATGATACATATTTTGTCTAATTGCTCATCGTAATGTCGACAAGAGTGAATATGCATTTTTGTGAATACCTCACGTAAATGGCCTAATAATCATTAATAGTAGTAGTATTATAGGAGTTAGTAGTAGCATTAGTGTAGTTAAGTCCATTATTGCTGTAGTAGTAACACTTGTGTAAATAGTCTCATTGAACACTTTACCACTGACTGTCCCCAGAATGAGAGCACAGAGCATTTAAGGCTGACAGTGAACATGCCATGCAGCTCTAAGTGCAAACAGATGGGACAGGCCAAGGTGAGGGATTTTACATCCAACAGCATGTTCACACAAATACCTTTTACATGCTTTCGCTATACAGCACTTTAGCTATATTTCTTATAAGCCTCTTTGTTGTTAAATGTGTTCTCTGTAACTGTAGTTGTTGGTAGATGTGTCCTCTGTATAGATGTAGGAGCTTAATTTGACCTATATTGTCACAGCAAAATAATCCTGCAGCAACAGGATTTGAACTGTTTAGTCCATAATGTTGCTTGATCAGTGGTTAGGCTATTAGCTGGCCAAAAGTAGGCTACATGAAAAGTGCAATACTGTTAATATAACCGTGTGTTAGTGTGGGTTTTCAGTGAATGTATGTAAATCACAAAGCTCATCTGCATTTCCTGCAGTGCAGGAAAATTCTCAGCAACAAAAGAGTGATTTAATTAAGATCCTACATCTGTAAGTGTAGTTTGTGTTTATCATAGTGGCACATGTAAGCAAGTATAACATTTCACTAGCTCCATAACAACGGATCATAGGCTTTATCGTTTTTTTGTTTTTGTTTTTTTACAGCTGGTGTACTATCCCTTAAATGGGATATACATTACATTTCACTCTCCATTGGGATGTAATGTTTAATGAAAAATGACACAAAGACAAATTAACAATGCTATTGCTTTCACATCTTACTTCCCAAACCCACTGCCACGAGGAATAAGTGCAGAATATGTGCAGCCCTCACTCAATCTCTTTCCTTTCTTTAACAACAGGACGTAATTAAGGCCAATTTAACCAAGGCCAGACAGTCATCTGATAAGTTAGTATGAACTGCGGGTATAAAGGTCAGAGCTACTGAAGAAACATAGTGTTAATCATTCTTACCAGAATGCATTTCTTTAGGCTACAATGCATTTTCACATTTCAAAACATATAAATACTCCAATGTGGGCCTTATGAAGTACTTTGATAAACATCTATTCATTCAAAATGCATGTGCTGGATATCTAACATGCTGAATGCTTTTGATGTCCCCTTGTCAAATAACCATTGTCCTAGGTCAGTCAAATATGAAGGTTTAAGAGAAAAGTCATGCATTTTAGTGGAAGCAAGACTTAGCATGATATTGCAGTTGAATATTTCAAGATCTCCATAGAGATGAGAATTTCAAGAATGTCCATACAAACAGCTTGTTTAATCAAATCTTATTCAAAGAGCATGGATAAGGTCTTTTAAGATGTGGGTTGTTTGTGCTTTTACCACTGTTTGACCTTGTAAATATGGTCTTACATTAATATCAGGCATCTCAAAGACTGAAATAGAAACTGATATTGAAATCAAAATAGACTTGAAACATCAACAACAGTATCATGAAAAGTCCAGCATTAAGACAAACAGCACAGTGACCTTGAAGAGAACAGTGTGTGTTCCTGCTATAGGTGACAAATGGGAAATGACGGTCTGCTACTACAGGAATAGCCTACAACTTCTATTCATTGGAAATCGAATTGAATATCATCATTTTCTGCAACAAAATTAATAGCCATGCATATGCTACTGTAGGAGGAACATTTGATTAACATGTTAAGGGTTTTTATTTTTAGTCTAATGAATTCAATCAAATTCAAGAAAAATAAATACGGATTCATTTTAATTCAACCAATGTTGTTAAGTTAGAATTTTAACGAATCTATCTGGTATTTAATTTTTTTAATATAAAATAAAAACATGGTTAAAAGTACGTTTGCAGCATTGAAGGACATATGGACAATATACAAAAATAATAGGCCTATAATATATAAACAAATCTAAACATTAAGATATGAGTAGCGAGAAGGCCATGTGACATAGTTCTAAGGCTTAAAAAATACTGTGATAAATCAGTGGCCACAATATTTGCCATTTTTGGGTGCTGGCGCGCATCGCACGGCACAAATCAGCAAGCTTGAAACCTTTCTCAAGTCAATTCGCTTACCTAAATTGACAAAGCTCATAACCATATCAGCATCGTTTAGAAAGTTGGTGTCGTGAGATGTAGTGAGTGGAGGGCTTTGACTCGTCAGAGGAGCCGCGCGGTAAGGTTGCGAAACACGAGAGTGTCCCTGCGAAGAGCCGTAGTACCCTTTACGCGAGTTTCCATGAGCCTTCCCGCTGAATCCTTTCCCTCTAACCTCTTGTGTTCTCAATCCTTCTTCTTCCTCAGTAGTCATGGCATTGTACAGGTCAAGCATGAACAGGGGTGCTGAAGATGCTTGTTTTCCTGGAGAAAAGGGCCTTGGACGATGTGGTAAACCCAAAATAGAGAGAATCTCTCTCTGAATCTCTCTCCGTTCATGGTTACGCAATCTCCTGTAAATAAAACTAGAATGCACATGGTTGTCGCCTAAACTACAATGAGCGCAGTATAGAAAACTCAAGCAGCTCCAGAAAAGTCCAAGTGTGGCCCGGTTCAAAGGAACGAAAGCTCTCATCTTGCACAAGGATGTTTTTGATGATGATGTATACACAGGTATACAGTTGTTACTCATATATAAAGATGATCTCCATTTCAATGCAAATATCACAATTTCTGAATGTTTTTTTTTTTTTTTTTTTTTTTTTTTTTACATCCAGTATAACATAAAGGTTATTATGTCACATTACTTTTAAGGAGAACGTCTGCCTGCAATGATGTTCTTAAAAGTCTCACATCAACGTATGTTGTGGAGCTGTCCCTTCTCTTCGGCAAAAAACAAAACAAGTTTTTGTTGAAGTTTTCTCCAGTGATCCGCTTAAATCCAATGTCTCACTGTCACATGTTTCAAAATAGGCGCATCACATGTGGAATTGTGACTTTCTCTCGCACCTACACAATAACATGCAGGTACGCCCATAAAAGTCGAAAAAGCCCAACGCTTTCATTGAATAGGAACATAAAAGCCCCTTTTAGTGGAAATCAGTAGACTATATAATAGCACCCGTTGCCACTAGTTGCAACGTTTTTTGGAAAATGTGTTGAATCTTGTTGTCTATCCAATGAGTCTATCCCATCCAGGAACAAGTTTTTGCATCCACCTCTAGCGGCCGCAATAAAACTTAACCGACATGAAGATGAATGTGGCAGCTCAAATGTGTAAGGGGAGACACTTGAAATCTGAAACCTGTCTTAACAAGTCAAAGAATAACGACACGGCCATTTAATTACCCCTACAGGTTTGGCCATATCCGTGCGATTTAGGAGAGGACATTTGGACAAATGCGTAATTTTAGTTTCCAAACTCAAATCTGTACATTCATTGAATCTAGAAATCTATCAATCAAAGTTCATTTTTGACCACCTACAACATTATGTTGATTGTGTTTTTTGGATAGGCCCATCTATACCGAACAAACATATAAATGCAACATGTAAAGTTTTTGTCCCATGTTTCATGAGCTGAAATAAAAGATCCCAGAAATGTTCCATACACACAAAGCTTATTTCTCTCAAATGTTGTGCACAAATTTGTTTACATCCCTGTTAGTGAGCATTTCTCATTTGTCAAGATAATCCATCCACCTGACATGTGTGGCATATTAATAAACTGATTAAACAGCATGATCATTACACAGGTGCACCTTGTGCTGGGGACAATAAAAGGCCAATTACAATGCCACAGATCTCTCAAGTATTGAGGGAGCATGCAATTGGCATGCTGACTGCAGGAATTTGTTGCTAGTGAATTGAATGTTCATTTCTCTACCATAAGCTGCCTCCAACGTTGTTTTAGAGAATTTGGCAGTACGTCCAACCGGCCTAACAACCGCAGACCATGTGTAACCAAGCCAGCCCAGGACCTCCACATCTGGCTTCTTCACCTGCGGGATCGTCTGAGACCAGCCACCTGACAGCTGATGAAACTGAGGAGTATTTCTGTCTGTAATAAAGCCCTTTTGTGGGGTAAAACCTATTCTGATTGGCTGAGCTTGGCTCCCCAGTGGGTGGGACTGGCTCCCAAGTGGGTGGGCGCAGCCATGGGTGGGCATGGGCCCACCCACTTGGGAGCCAGTCCCACCCACTGGGGAGCCATGCCCACCCATGGCTGCGCCCCTGCCCAGTCATGTGAAATCGAGAGATTAGGGCCTAATTAATTTATTTCATTGACTGATTTCCTTCTATGAACTGAAATTGTTGCATGTTACGTTTATATTTTTTGTTGAGTATATTTCCAAAAGGTTTAAAAACATCTGATTCCTTGAAAAAACAACAGTGATTCTCGTTTTAGCTCCACAAAGTTGCGAATAATTTTTTACTTAATGAGAAGACAATAGCCTGGTGAGGTGTGACGTGCGCGAGTTATCCTAACGCTTCACCGACACCTGAGGCTGTATGGTCGTCATCATTGGACAATGGTGTTCTAAGGGGATTTCTTCATTTAGCAGACGCTGTTATACAGAGCAACTTTATAGTGAGTGCATTTTTTATATACAACCCTGTCAACCACCATGCTCTATCAACTGAGCCACATAAGCCCCATGCATGTGTTAGCCTATGTATGCAGGGACGAATGGGCCTTTTGATATTGCTGCTAAGCTCTTCTGCCAGGTTTACAATAGTATATTGATTGGGTATATAATTATATAAATATCCTATCATTCATTTACTTCAAAGGCAACACAATTACTTCTACAATTATGTTCAGACCTAGCCATACACTACTAAAATGTTAACTTTTTAAGGGATTGATTGCCATAGTTACATGCAAGAACAACCTGATGTATTATCCAAGTGTCCAAGCTATCAGTCATTGGTTGGCTCAGGTGCAGGTTAGCTGTGCTGTCAATATTATCCTCAAGACATGTAGCAGCATAAACTGTCCTTCTCTATCTTTGGAGGATGCATGCACTCAAAGATCTGGCCTCTATTGGTTGACTTCACTATAGCTAGGCTACTTCTGATTGTGTATTGCTTGTTTGTTTTTTGCCTTTGAAGCTGAGATTCTTCTGAAAAGCGCTATAGAAATTGTATAAATTATTATTATTATTATTATTAGGAATCTATAAAGTATTTATTTTTCATTCAATTGACTAAGCATCCCCATTGATGAAATTATTTCACAGTTCAGTTGCAGAGTTGTAATCCCATTGCGCCATCTAGTGTAAGATGTGTACATCACCTGTTAATGCAGACAACCATAGACAGACACACAGACATGCACACGCACACGCGCGCGCGCACACACAAACACAAACACACACACACACACACAAATTCAGGCTGAGTCATCTGGCAACTGTGATGGGACAGTTGATCAAGATCGGTCAAAGATGTGAGAGGGTGAGAGTGTTAGGACCATCATTTATCATCCCCAACTACCCCAATGACAATTCTGTACTTAAAGGGAAATTCCACCACTTTTTAACCTGATGTTATCTCCAGAACCATAGAAGTGTCTACATATGTGAAAACGGCACATTTCTACATGCTGTATGTAAAAATATAAGAAGAAAAGCTCCCATTATGATGTCATCAAAAGTTATTTTTGAAAACTGTTATTGTGAAACAGAGGGAAATTAATAATATGAGGTAAAAAGTGGTGGAATTTCCTTTTTAATTTTCATGACAAACACACACACACAAAAAAAACTTCACGTCATAAAAAAGTTGTAATTAATGATACCAAAAGTCAATACAAAAGTCACAATTACACATACAAAATGTAATAAAATTAGACACAGCAAAAAAACGACCAAGCTCTCACAGGTAAAGCCCATCAATACACAGTAAATTAGTTCCGTTTTATAAATAACCAAAAATACTTAAACTTGATAGGCTAAGGTAAGATAAGGTACGGTAAGGTAAAGTAAGGTACTCAGGCACGTAAATGTCATATATGCGCAAACAGCAAATCATTTGAAACAGAGCAAACTTCAGATTAAGTCAAGATGTCAACATGTTTCTTTTAGCCCTCACTCTTTTGACAGAAATTTGCTAGGATTTCCCAGGTTTACATTTGTTATAGTAGGTAGGCCTATCCTCTACTCAAGTTACAAAAATACTTTTTTTCTGTATTTTTCATACAATACATGAACTAGTTATTGTAAAAAAAAAAAAAAAAAAAGGAATATAAGCTGAAATAGCATTGCAGTAATGCGCACAAGGTTTTAGATGATGGCTTTAATATGTTTATTCATGAAAATGAAAATAGCAGCCTCCATTATAGAGATAGCAAGCTCACAGATTTGCCCTGAAATTTTGTAATAATTCTTTAGACGTTGTTTACAACAACTTTTTTTGTCAAATTACAAATTATAATACATTACAGGGTCTATAAACATTTCATAAATAACTACAAACAAATTTGGTAAACAAATTGAGGGGTGACCAATGAAAAAGTATGGTGCAAAAAATCAACAACAGGGGGCAGTATATAGCAAGAAAATGTACCATCAGCATTGTCTAAGTGGAGCGCCAACCATTCCTGTGTACTTGTGTGAGCAGTGCAGAATTCTTTACATTGGATGCTTTGTATTGATATTTGGCCCAGAATCCAACCAATGCCAACCAAAGCCATCCAAATGTAGGAGCAATTACTATCATTCTTTAAAGGGACAGTGCACATATTTTTCATGCTAGCTGTTCCTGTAGCTTTTCCTGTAGACTTCCAGTCATTGTGCTAACGCTAGTTAGCAATGGCTCCAGAAACTACTTTCAAACTGCCTGCAGAGACATACAAGTGGTATCCATGAGTTCATCTGACTCTGGGTAAGTACAAAAAAGCCCAAATGTTGCACTATCCCTTTAAAGCAAAATGGAGCCCATGACATAACAAAGCAGAATGTGAGAAGAACAGAATTAATATGTTTTTTTCCACTCTAAAGCCCGGTTTATACCTGGCGCTAATATGGGTCCTGTGTCCTGATCTTGTCCACATTTTAAGAAATGTAATCTCTTATCCGTCCACTGTGCATGCATTGTGACTGGATTTCCTAGCCCCTCCCTGTATGCAAATTATTTCACAGCTATTCTTTCAAAATAATATTTATTTATTTATTTTAAGACACATATTGATGACATAAGTCAATGGTGCCATCTGTCCAGATCCGTCTACACGTATACAGTGGGGAAAAAAGTATTTAGTCAGCCACCAATTGTGCAAGTTCTCCCACTTAAAAAGATGAGAGAGGCCTGTAATTTTCATCATAGGTACACGTCAACTATGACAGACAAATTGAGATTTTCTCTCTCCAGAAAATCACATTGTAGGATTTTTAATGAATTTATTTGCAAATTATGGTGGAAAATAAGTATTTGGTCACCTACAAACAAGCAAGATTTCTGGCTCTCACAGACCTGTAACTTCTTCTTTAAGAGGCTCCTCTGTCCTCCACTCGTTACCTGTATTAATGGCACCTGTTTGAACTTGTTATCAGTATAAAAGACACCTGTCCACAACCTCAAACAGTCACACTCCAAACTCCACTATGGCCAAGACCAAAGAGCTGTCAAAGGACACCAGAAACAAAATTGTAGACCTGCACCAGGCTGGGAAGACTGAATCTGCAATAGGTAAGCAGCTTGGTCAGATGAAACCAAAATATAACTTTTTGGTAAAAACTAAACTCGTCGTGTTTGGAGGACAAAGAATGCTGAGTTGCATCCAAAGAACACACCTAGTGAGCATGGGGGTGGAAACATCATGCTTTGGGGCTGTTTTTCTGCAAAGGGACCAGGACGACTGATCCGTGTAAAGGAAAGAATGAATGGGGCCATGTATCGTGAGATTTTGAGTGAAAACCTCCTTCCATCAGCAAGGGCATTGAATATGAAACGTGGCTGGGTCTTTCAGCATGACAATGATCCCAAACACACCGCCCGGGCAACGTAGGAGTGGCTTCGTAAATAGTTGGAGTGTACCTAGAGTTCAGATCTCATCTTTAATGAGAAAATCTTGGGGTGATTGAAAGTATTGTTGCCCACACAGTATCCAAAACATCACTGCTACTAGAGGAGTGTGGCAGGAAGCCGCAAAATCAGCAACATGTTTAAAACTGTCTAACTTTACAAAACGTGCCTGTGTCAATGCAGACAAAGGGTTATAACAAGTATTAAACTTTGAAGTCATGACAAAATACTGGTATCTTTCCAAAATTAAGTTCTAATAATTGACGTGTACCTATGATGAAATTACAGGCCTCTCTCATCTTTTTAAGTGGGAGAACTTGCACAATTGGTGGCTGACTAAATACTTTTTTCCCCCACTGTATATCCAAACCCAATGTGTGCCTGACTACCTAAGGAGGTGGTCAGGAAGATCCGATCACAATCAGATCACAATGCATCTTATAAATGTCTACACCTGTCTAAAACTGTGGCCGCTATCAGAATGTGGAGAAGATCAGGACAAATGACCAGGTTAGAACCAGGTATAAACGGGGCTTGAGAAAGGTCATGAAAGGATGCACATGGGTATCTTTGCTATATACATGTTAAGAGGTACTTCCTGTTTCCGTGACTGATGGGAAACACTGTAAAATGTGATCTTCCTGAGATTGGAAAGATTTGCTGTTTTTCTTTGAGATTTACGCATCAACTCCAGACTGTTTGATTGCCTGCCTGCTGCCATGTTGGGTCAATAGTTTGGTCCTTTACTGAAAGGATCCCTGCTCCTCATCATGACACCGTAACACATGGATAGATGACACACCCCCGGCTGGCCCGGGACCCCAGGGTTACCTCTCTTCCCCTCCTCCCCGTTTAAGCCAGGGGGTCCTGGCTTCCCTGGATGACCTGGTTTACTATACCCCTGGGGACCCATCGGACCTGGGAAAGTAGACAATTACAAATGAGGTGTATCTCTTGTGGTTCCAAAACATGTCCTACTGGTTTGCCAACAATTCCTAATCCTGTTATTTGATCACTTTTGATTGAAAAGGGGTAGCTAAGGTCCCAAAAGGCTTACAATGTGTTTATCTGCAGAAGAGGGAAAAATGGTTGCAATAGTTCTGAAATGAATCCCAGAAAGTATTCTCAAACAGCTTGGACTGAGGACATGATTGGATTACTGTGCTGTGACCCAGATGCATCAATCTTAAGAACATTTTCCTGATTCCATTTCTATATTGACTAAATAACTGAATAGACATAGTTACACTGAGTGTACAAAACATGAAGAACACCTTCCTAATATTGATTTGCACCCCTCCTTTTGCCCTCAGAACAGCCTACATTTGTTGGGGTATGGACTCTACAAGGTGTCGAAAGCTGTTGATTCCATTGCTTCCCACAGTTGTGTCAAGTTGGTTGGATGTCCTTTGGGTGGTGGACCATTCTTGATACACATGGGAAACAGTTGAGCGTGAAAAACCCAGCAACGTTGCAGTTCTTGACACAAATCGGTGTGCCTGGCACCTACTACCATACCGTTCAAAGGCACTCACATATTTTGTCTTGCCCATTCACCCTCTGAATGGCACACATACACAATCCATGTCTCAATTGTCTCAAGGCTTAAAAACCCTTCTTTAACTGGTCTCCTCCCCTTCATCTACACTGATTGAAGTGGATTTAACAGGTGACATCAATAAGGGATCATATGTCATGGAAAGACTAGGTGTTCATAATGTTTTGTACACTCAGATTAGATGTACAGTAGCGTACCATACATAGTAAACATGTTTTATATTCCTATTATTACCTGGAGGCCCTGGTGTTCCCGGATCTCCAATCTCTGTTCTTCCTTGACTCCCCTTCTCACCCTTTAATCCTGGATCTCCTGAAAACACAAATAGAATGCAGTGTGTTCCAGACAGTACAAATAGAATGCAATGTGTTCCAGACAGACAAATAGAATGCAATGTGTTCCAGACTGAACAAATAGAATGCAATGTGTTCCAGACAGACAAATAGAATGCAATGTGTTCCAGACAGAACAAATAGAATGCAATGTGTTCCAGACAGACAAATAGAATGCAATGCGTTCCAGACAGAACAAATAGAATGCAATGTGTTCCAGACAGACAAATAGAATGCAATGTGTTCCAGACAGACAAATAGAATGCAATGTGTTCCAGACAGACAAATAGAATGCAATGTGTTCCAGACAGTACAAATCTATTTTTACATTTAACTTGACTACAGGAAAAAGCTAGGCCTTTGTTTACATTTTACTGGTACAGTGTCCTGGAGAAGATCTCAATTACTCCTCTCTCCTGCAACACCACCACTAGAGGCAGTGCTGTAACACCACCACTAGAGGCAGTACATTCTACTGTTTACCTGTACATACTGCACAGATGAAATTAGTCCTAAAGCCTATTTATTACCTTTCAAGCCAAGCATCCCAGGATGCCCAGGTCGACCTGGATGGCCCGGCTGTCCACTGGAACCAGGGTTCCCAGGAAAGCCTGTAGATCCCTTGGGCCCAACCGGGCCTGGTGCCCCCGAAGTCCCATCCCTGGTCTGGCAGTGGTCACAGTTACTCAGCTGCTGGTTACTGAGGAGTAGCGAAGGCATCTCCACTGGGATGAAAACACAATGGAGAAGGCTCAGATAATGTGTACTCTACAGAGTACAGCAATGATCAAACATAATCAATACTCACATCTAAGTACCTCTCTGCATATTTCCTGAATGATTTGCTTGGACATCTCCCTTCCCTGTGGAAATGTGACATGATTGATGGCATCATGCAAAACGTATGAGTCAATTAATACAGACGGCATAGACATTGATGGAACAGTTAACGATTGTTGTTGAAAAGTGACATGTTGGGTAGTTGTTGGTGACCAAGCATGGTCAATGTACTGGTGGGGTACTGGTGAGTGTACTGGTGGGGTACATACAGGTCTCCCCTCTAGTCCAGGTGGCCCAAGAGGGCCAACGTCCCCGCTCTGTCCTCGAGGCCCAGGCGGGCCAGTCTGCCCTGATAGTCCTGGCTGGCCTTGGTGACCTCCCAGTCCCCTCTGACCGGGGTCTCCTGTTGTTCCTTTCTGGCTTCCACAAGAGCATAGTATAAGTACACACACTGCTCTAGATGGGGACGTATGCTTGGCTATTCAGGGCTACAGCTACTTACAGTAGTCAATGACAGACTTACCTCCCCTTTTTGTCCCGATGAGCCAATAGAGCCCTGTCAATCAAAGTCATAATGGCTGAGTATTAGTCATGTTGATTAATTATAATGTAATTGGGTTTGAATGAGATGGAAATACAACTAACTTCCATATCCTCTGGATGTGGATATAGGGAAAACATGCTGTTTAAATTGATATTCTCAATGGAAAAGTGATAGTCAAAAGTCAATTTGAGAGTTGTTCCGACACTTCCAAATTCACAATCCAACTTCTGTACATGAATGTATTAGAACAGGGGTGTCAAACGTACGGCCCGCGGGCCGGATCAGGCCCACAAACGGGTTTAATCCGGCCCGCGAGATGATTTAAAAATAAATAAAAAATAAATAAAAAACGCGATTTTTGGACTTTTCACTGTATTTTGCACCAGGAGGCTTTGTGTTGCAAGTCATTAAAGATGGATAACGTCATGAAGGTGGTCATCCAAACTGTTAATTTCATCCGATCCAGAAGCCTGAATCACCATCAGTTTGACAGCCTTCTCAGAGAGAAAGACCACATCTATGGCCTGCCATACCACACTGAGGTAAGATGGTTAAGCCGAGGTGCTGTGCTGAGGCGTTTCTTTGATTTACGAGAAGAAATTGAACAGTTCATGGAAGAAAAGGCCAAACCAGTGTTAGAATTTCATTCCGCAGAATGGATGCAGGACCTTGCATTTATGGTGGATGTTACAGAGCACCTGAATAACTTGAACAAACAGCTGCAAGGGCGCAACAAAGTTGTCACGCAGTATTATGACAGCATACGTTCTTTCAAGTTGAAGCTGTCATTGTGGGAGACGCAACTTGCCGGTGGTGATGCAGCTCACTTCCCCTGTCTGAAAAATGTGTGCGCGACCCAACATGTGGCAGACATGAAGCGGTTCAAAGATAAAATAACGGGACTGTTACGGGAGTTTGAGCAACGCTTTCAGATTTATGTTTATATGTTTTTATGTTGATGTGCTATTGTTTTTAATTGATTTTATTTTATTTGTATATTTAACCTATTCTTGACTCTGTGGTTCTTGCACTTGTTTGGGGAACAGGATTTCATTATTTTTATCTACATTTCTGCCTGAGAAATGACACCCTGATATAGTTCTGTGATCTGTGATATACTTCTGTGAATCACTGAGGCATTGTGTGTTTGTGTGTTCTTTGTCCTCAGAACTTTCAAATAACTTGAGGTGTTTTATGATTAATAGTGATGTTGTGCTTTTGGACACTGTCCTCAGGCTCCAGCTTTTATGTTTATATGTTTTTATGTTGATGTGCTATTGTTTTTAATTGTTTTTATTTTATTTGTATATTTAACCTATTCTTGACTCTGTGGTTCTTGCACTTGTTTGGGGAACAGGATTTCATTATTTTTATCTACATTTCTGCCTGAGAAATGACACCCTGATATAGTTCTGTGATCTGTGAAACAGTTCTGTTAATCACTGAGGCATTGTGTGTTTGTGTGTTCTTTTTCTTTAGAATTTTCAAATAAACTTGACGTGTTTTATGATTAATAGTGATGTTGTGCTTGTACTATTTTGGACACACTGTCCTCAGGCTCCAGCTTTATGTTGTATGTTGATCGTATTAAAACAAAGAAAACAATCTGAAGTTGTTGTTTTTAAGTTATATATACCATGATTTTTCCGGTCCGGCCCACTTGGGAATAGATTTTCCTCCATGTGGCCCCTGAGCTAAAATGAGTTTGACACCCCTGTATTAGAACATAGTTGGACTGCAAAATTCATATCAGTGCTAGTCTACAATATGAAAGAAATACATTGTGACAAGAGGAACATATTCCCAGTTACGAATGATTTAGGCAATGGAAGAACCACTGTAATGTGGTTAGAAAAGTTTCCCATAGAAAAAGTATACTGTAGCACTTGCAAGCAGTAAGTACTATGTAACTGGGCTTCCGAGGCTGCTGGACAATCAACTGTCCAACTGGACAAAATGCTTTTGTATAGCCATTACGGAATTCATTCACTGATGTAAATAATATGAGATGTAATCATAGGAAGGGGAACTTACATGATTCCCTGGAATTCCCAAATCTCCTTTTTCACCTCTCAATCCCTGTAGAGAAAATTAAACGAGCAATAATGGTTTTTGTTTTTAGTCATTCTGCTTGTGATTAAATGTAAGGTCTTCAGTAATCAAATTAGTGTCCTTCAGAGCAGAGTTAAAATTGACTGCGATTTTACAAGAAGGTTAATGATATTTCCATCCAGAAACTCAGTACAAGTGACTTCTTAACCGCAGTCCTGTGGTGACATTGTCATTTGACTCGATACGCTTCCTAGTTCCCCTCCCAAAGATCATAGCTGTCCCTGTTTTCCATGACTTTTGAATTAAGCAGTTGTTCAACATGATTCCACTCTGGCTAAATGAAAGCAACCACATTTGGAAGGAGATAGTGAGCCAAGCATCAGATTATACTTGAAGCGGTCTTATGTACATGGAAACGTAGCAACCTATATACAGTGGGGGAAAAAAGTATTTAGTCAGCCACCAATTGTGCAAGTTCTCCCACTTAAAAAGATGAGAGAGGCCTGTAATTTTCATCATAGGTACACGTCAACTATGACAGACAATTTGAGATTTTTTTTTCTCCAGAAAATCACATTGTAGGATTTCTTATGAATATATTTGCAAATTATGGTGGAAAATAAGTATTTGGTCACCTACAAACAAGCAAGATTTCTGGCTCTCACAGACCTGTAACTTCTTCTTTAAGAGGCTCCTCTGTCCTCCACTCGTTACCTGTATTAATGGCACCTGTTTGAACTTGTTATCAGTATAAAAGACACCTGTCCACAACCTCAAACAGTCACACTCCAAACTCCACTATGGCCAAGACCAAAGAGCTGTCAATGGACACCAGAAACAAAATTGTAGACCTGCACCAGGCTGGGAAGACTGAATCTGCAATAGGTAAGCAGCTTGGTTTAAAGAAATGAACTGTGGGAGCAATTATTAGGAAATGGAAGACATACAAGACCACTGATAATCTCCCTCGATCTGGGGCTCCACGCAAGATCTCACCCCATGGGGTCAAAATGATCACAAGAACGGTGAGCAAAAATCCCAGAACCACACGGGGGGACCTAGTGAATGACCTGCAGAGAGCTGGGACCAAAGTAACAAAGCCTACCATCAGTAACACACTACGCCGCCAGGGACTCAAATCCTGCAGTGCCAGACGTGTCCCCCTGCTTAAGCCAGTATGTGCCCAGGCCCGTCTGAAGTTTGCTAGAGTGCATTTGGATGATCCAGAAGAGGATTGGGAGAATGTCATATGGTCAGATGAAACCAAAATAGAACTTTTTGGTAAAAACTCAACTCGTCATGTTTGGAGGACAAAGAATGCTGAGTTGCATCCAAAGAACACCATAGCATGGGGGTGGAAACATCATGCTTTGGGGCTGTTTTTCTGCAAAGGGACCAGGACGACTGATCCGTGTAAAGGAAAGAATGAATGGGGCCATGTATCGTGAGATTTTGAGTGAAAACCTCCTTCCATCAGCAAGGGCATTGAATATGAAACGTGGCTGGGTCTTTCAGCATGACAATGATCCCAAACACACCGCCCGGGCAACGAAGGAGTGGCTTCGTAAGAAGCATTTCAAGGTCCTGGAGTGGCCTAGCCAGTCTCCAGATCTCAACCCCATAGAAAATATTTGGAGGGAGTTGAAAGTCCGTGTTGCCCAGCGACAGCCCCAAAACATCACTGCTCTAGAGGAGATCTGCATGGAGGAATGGGCCAAAATACCAGCAACAGTGTGTGAAAACCTTATGAAGACTTACAGAAAACGTTTGACCTGTGTCATTGCCAACAAAGGGTATATAACAAAGTATTGAGAAACTTTTGTTATTGACCAAATACTTATTTTCCACCATAATTTGCAAATAAATTCATAAAAAATCCTACAATGTGATTTTCTGGATTTTTTTTTCCTCATTTTGTCTGTCATAGTTGACGTGTACCTATGATGAAAATTACAGGCCTCTCTCATCTTTTTAAGTGGGAGAACTTGCACAATTGGTGGCTGACTAAATACTTTTTCCCCCACTGTATATGTTTCCCAAAGCAACCTCTGTTCCATAAGTCAAATGAAAGTTTGATATGTTCATCAGTTACAGTATATTCAATTTCATTGTTTAGCTGTTTACCATTATTTGCTCTCTTGGACTGAACAACATGGCAAAATATAACCAAACTGAATACTTGAAACATCAGGAATTCCACCTGAAATCCCCTGAGAAGACAGACGCTCCATACAAAGCATCAAAGGGTAGCTAATGGATTTGAATTGTCATCAGGAGTTATTAAATGAATACCTTCCCTCCTCGTTCACCTGGATCTCCCCTTTGTCCCTGGTGAGATAGAAATGACACAACAATCACATGTTATGATATTGTTATAATAGGAGAAGACAGAGTTACAGTTCCAAATGTTTCAACTTCAATACCCACATACTGCATCACGTCTATGGCACAGGCTATGGATATGCCAGATGACAGTATGTTAAACATTCTACAAGCCTCTTGTAGTGTTTCACTGTTTAAAAAAATTATATATTTTGTTGTAAGATTGCAAGTTTTCCTGAAATGGTAGAAATGAAACGAAAGGCAAACTGAAAAGTTCCTGTAAAAAATACTGTTATAGATCAATTATGTATTTTATTGCATTTGATTAACCCTCACCTGTAAATTGCAGTCCTTGGGGTAATTAATTAATTTCATCCCATGAAAGATTTGCTTGGTTGCTGTAGTATAAATTATTATTCTTTATTGAAGTTAATGGAGGTAAATCTGGAAACACAGCTCACTATAAAGTAGCTTTCTGGCTCCTACTTCTTCATCAAAA